TGGGGCGGCTTGGGGATGTTGTTGTTGGGTAGGTTTTTTTGGTTTTTCAATTTATTTTATTTTATTATTTTATATAATTTATGTACATGCCCATGTGCTTTCAAAGTTGTCTCAGATTACCACATATGCTTTGAAACGTCTCAAAATACCCCCTACACTTTTAAAAACTGTCATGTTACCTGTTCTATCAGTATTAAGAGACATTCCGTTACGTGGTGTGGGCCCCACTTCTTTTAAATTGCTTAACAATGGAGAATAAGGGTTATTCAGTTTCAGAAATTGGGAAATTGGGTGAGAAGAGGAAATTGGGAGAAGAGGGCTATGGTTTATGAAAATCTGAGGTGGGGTTCGATTTTGGGAGAATCCGAAGAAGAAATCACTATTTGGCATTGGACTTTAAAGCTAGAAAGTGCGAAGATGGTGGTGCTTAGAGAATCTGGAGGTTGTCAACCCATATGTAAGTGGACCAATTCTGACTCGTTTTTCTTGATTTTGGCATGTGCATTGAACTGTTGTTGGAGTTTTTTTTGTTCTTTTGTATACTTTTTGACTATGTGATGGTCCTGGTGTGGTCATTATGTGGTCCTTATGTGTTCCTTGTCTGGTCCTTGTGTGTTGCTGGAGTTTCTTTTTTGTTTTTGTGTATACTTTTTTACTCTGTGCTGGTCCTGGTGTGGTCCTTGTGTGTTCCTTGTGTAGTCCTTGTGTGTTCCTTGTATTGTCCTTGTGTGGTCCTTGTTTTGTCTTTGTTACCTTTATCGGTTTGTTAAGTGAATCTTCCTCATACCTCTTACATAGATAAAGATGCTGACGAGGTTGTTACATTTAAGTTTTTCCATGAAGGTAAACTAGTTTAAAATGGAAGGGACAATCAATGGTCTTATTTGGGTGGTGAAGTCAATTGATTTGATTATTGTGAGGTTGACTATATGTCCATATTAGAGCTATTTGGAATGGCTAAAGATCTGAGATATGATGATGGGTATGATGTGAGTTTTTATGGTGAAGAGTTTGGAACTAGTAAACTCATTCAAATAGTATCAGATAGTACGCTTTTAGCTTGTATGAGCACGGTACCTAAAAGCAATATCAGGATGATAGTTTTGTACTTGAAAGCAGTGAGCCTGACTTCAAGCCAAGTGGAGAATGGTAGCAGTGATCCAGAATATTCTTGTTCTGAGGATGATGATAGCAGTGATCCAGACTTTGAAGACAGTGACTAAGCACAAAGTGATGAAGAGATTGACTTATTGAAGAAGGATGATAAGTGGTTTGAAGGTTATGTGGATCATACTTGTATTGACAATGATCCTAATACAGAGGAAAATGATGAGTCAGACAGTAGAGAAGAGTCACCTATACTTACCTGCCCAAGTAGCTCTTCAAGTGAAGATGAAGTACTAGATGAACTAAGAAGGAAGAGGAATAGAATGCCAAAATTTGCAACTGCTGAGATGTTTAGATTTCATACCTGAAATTGATATGGCAAACCCAGGATTCGAAGTGGGTTCAAAGTTTGCAACTGCTGAGATGTTTAGAAAAGCTGTGAGGATATACTCTATTAATTGTGGAAGGGAGTTGATATTTATGAATAATGACCATAACAAAATAAGAGTAGTATGTGAAGAGGGTTGTCCTTTTGTTATCCATGCTTCAAGTGTTAGTGGTAGCACTTACCTGCAGGTGAAAACCTTTAATCCTACACATGTTTGTAGTAAGGGGAGTAAAAATATACATGCCACTGCTAGTTGGTTGGCTGAAAGATATTCCGGGCAATTAAGGCTCAATCCAAATTAGACTGCTTCTTCTTTTGCAGAGCAAGTTCACCAAGACTATGGTTACAGACCATCTAGAGCAACAGTATACATAGCAAGAGCCATGACAGTTGACATTGTAGAGGGGTCTTACAGTAAACAATATGAAGTATTGTGGAATTATTGTCATGAGTTAAGAACGAGAAATGTGGGAAGTATAGTTATCATTAAATTTAAAATGGAAGGTAATAGGCCACGGTTTCAGAGGATTTACATCTGTCTTGCAGCCTGCAAGAATGGGTTTTTAGATGGTTGTAGGCATGTAGTTTGCTTGGATGGGTGTCATGTCAAAGGGCCTCACCCTAGGCAAGTGCTTTCTGCAATGGGAGTTGATGCAAACAACGGAATGTTTCCACTTGCCTATGCATATGTAGAGATTGAGAGCAATTCAACGTGGCTGTGGTTTTTAGAATTATTGAGTGGTGATCTGAATATTAGGAATAGCCATAGTTATTTATTTATGACTGGCAAGCAAAAAGGTTTAATATATGTTGTGGATGCTCTATTACCTCATGCAGAGCACAGACATTGTTTGAAACATCTGTATGGAAACTTCTATTTGGAGCATAGAGGTCTTGCTTTGAAACATCAAATGGAAGCAATTGCTAGGGCCACAACAGTGCAATGGTTTGATGCAGAGATGAGAAAAATGTTGGAGTTGTCTAAACCTGCACATTTCAAGAGTATTTCCAAGTGTGACATGCTTATGAACAACCTATGTGAGGCATTCAACCGTAGCATAATGGATGCCAGAGACAAGCCTATTTTGACTATGCTAGAAAGAATTCGGTTGTATATAATGTTGTTGATGGCTGAAGAAAGGTTTTGTGTGAGAAATGGCATGGACAAGTTGGGCCAAGAATTAGAAAGATATTAGAGAAAAACAAAGGAAAAGCTCAGTGGTGCATTCCTAAGGCTGCTGGACGGAATAGGTTTGAAGTAATGCACCATAGTGGCCATAACTTTGCTGTTGATTTGAATGCCCACTCTTGTTCATGTCATGCCTGGGATTTGAATGGAATACTATGTTTGCATGCTTGTGCTTCAATAAGTTGGTTTCATGGGAATCCAGAGGACTTTTGTGATGCAGTGTACAAGAAAGAGGCTTATTTGAAAGCCTATGAACCAATGATTATGCTCATGACTAACCAAGATCAATGGACGAAGATTAATTTACCTTCGTTACTCCCTCTAAAATACCACAAGCAGCCTGGTAGGCCTAAGAAGACAAGAAAACAAGCTTTTGATGACCCTAAACAACCTGCTAATCCATATAAGCTTCCTAGATATGGCATTCCTTTAAAGTGTGGCAATTGTGATGGAGAATGGCATAATCAAATTAGTTGTAAGGTATGTGTCATTATCCAAAATTGCTTTACATTTAAATCCATTTGATATGGTTTCTGACTTGATGACTTTGCTTATTAGGAACCTAGAAATCCCAACATAAAGCCTACTAGGAAGAGGAAAGTTGCCAAGGAAAAACTTCCAGTAAGTGCCACGGTTTGAATTATGTATTCACCATTCAGATTTTTATATCATGCCTACCTAATTATTATTTGTTTTAGGTAAGAAGGAGAGATGGTAAAGAGCAAAGTAGCGGACAACAAAGTATGCAACTAAGGCAAAGAAAACAGGCAAGTGGTTCCCAATGGCCTTCTCAATCCCAGGCATCTCAAGTAGCCCAGGCTTCTCAATCCCAACCATCTCAAGCAGCCCAGGCTTCTCAAACATGTGATTCATCTCAATCTGCCAAACTATCTCGAGTACAACAACGTAGGAGGATGATGAAAGATCAACAAATGAGCTATTTTGTAAGGATTATATTTTGGCTCTTCTCTTATGACAAAGCCAATGTATTTTGCTAAGGTATAGGTATTGGTTTAAGTCTGTTTGAATGCACATGCTAGATTCAAAAGCGTCATCTTTGCAATCCAAACTTAAATTCATTGCATACATTCACATGGGTTAATACACAGGATTGATACAAGCCTTAAATTTGTTTTCTGTTTCATTATGTATCACTCCTTCCTAGTCTGTTTTAATCCTTCTTTCACTTTGCATTCATACACATGGATTGATATACAGGGATTGATACAACCTTTA